GGGAAGAGTGATTTATCTTCGCTATGATTGTCCTGGATAATTTAAAAACTTCTGGCTCCCAGAAATCATAACCTGAAACCCTTGAGTAATCCTTTCAACCTAGCTCTTATCTTTTTTCTCCTCATCCTAGTTGAATCTGTTCTTCTGTACCCACGTTAATGCTTCATTTAGTCGTCGATCCTTTGTGTCTTTACAGTTGATCTCCCTGTATGTAGAATATAAGTAGGTGTTCCGTATAAATAAACTACCCAGTGGGAACCAGATGCTGAACTTTATAGCTGACTAGACAGAACCACTGAAAGGTGATATAATATGCTTGGCATCTGTGAGTCAGCATCAAGATGTGCTCTAAATACTATTGCAAACAAACAATTACAGTTTCTGGACATAAAGAACTCCATGTGCTCCATTAGTGCTGTTGGAAATTGCTCCCAAGGGCTGTAGTTCTCACTCAATTCAGATCATTTATGTAATTTCGGAGCATGAACTGTTCCAGGGAGCTGCAGTGTTCACTGATTTCTACACTGTTTGGTGAACTTTCTATTTAAAGGTTTCTTGTGTTGAGGCTGGAACTAATGCATTAAATTCAGCAGTATATAAGAGCTCCTGAAAAGTTCAGATTAGAAAATGCTACTTGTAGGATGCTCCATGCCCTGCTCAGTGATCTGAGTGAAAAAGCCGAGCCATAAGCAGAGGCAGCTTGTAGGGTCAGGGCCTGGATTCACCTGTAGCACTTACCTTCATTAATCTTGTGTTTATATTGTTGGGAAAGTACATGCTGCCTGTAAAGTGAGATAGCTTCACAGTCAAGCTTGATATCTGATTCCTGGCCTGATTCTCAGTGGAATTTAAATGGGCTTCCTATGTGCTAATGTGTGAAGCCTCAGTGATTAGAAAGCTGCTGGAGTGCTGGAGTTGGATCAGTGAATGCTTGCAGGTGCTGATGCTGTGCTTGGCTTAGCTAGTAAGCTTTGCAAAGCTTTCCTTACATGGAATGTTTGTTTTCTCTACAAATGGTGTTTATGGAGAGTTCATCCTGGGCTGAATTTTTCATTTTAAGGAAACTTTCACAGATGTCCTGTTCCGTGTTTCCACTGTTACAAGCCACCACTGAGTCATGCAGCCAGTGACCTGCTGACAAGCCAGTCCTTGCTGCTTACTAAATATAAAAGACACTGAATGGATAGCCATAGAACTGAAGATTAATTCAGCAGCAAAGTCAGCCACAGATGAGTTGTGAAAACTTCTTCTTCAAGCTAACACATAAGGTCTGCCTGCTGTGACTGGTTGGTTTTTCCCTAGAGATTAGAAAATAAGAATTCTGGGTGCACCCAGAGCTGCAAGGGTGATATTATTAGGCAGTGTTTGGAGGCACCTGGCTGACTGTCCTTGAACTGTGACTTGAGATCTCCCTAACATACAGAAACACCAAGTGCCAGACTTGCATGCTGCCCTTAATCTTTCAGTCTCCCAGTGCTTTAAAAACCTGCTTTCTAGAGAAGATTTCCAAGAGACTGCACCATGCAATGGGTGGTTACAAACCCACCAGACATTTATCTGAACACACCCTGAGAACAACATGAATAAAACATTTGCAGGCTTAAGTGCTTATGAAATTCTAAGCAAATATTGGGTTTATGCTGCTACTCTGTGTATATTGAGTGGTGCCATACTGCATAACGGACCCCGCTGACACATGGGTGACTGTAAAATAAATATTTCCAAGCATAGTAAGGGTGTTTTGTTGTAGTTGCTGTGTTTGTGGATTACTTGCCAAACTTTTTAATGCAACTGATCCTAAAATATGAAAATCCATGGCTTAGATTTGGGGGCAGAAGGTTGGAGGGTGCTGGGGTTTGGGATTTTTTTGTTGGTTAGTTTCTTGGGGGTTTCTTTGCTAGTTTTGTTTTGAGTTTTTTGTTCATTTGGTTGGTTTTGTCGGGTTTTTGATTGGTTGGTTTGGATTTTTTTTTTTTTTTGTGGGGTTTGTTTTTCTTTTTTTTTTTTTTTTTCTTTTGTGTTTGTGGCTTCTTTTTTTTATAATCCAGCTGAAGTGGATAAAGTCATGGTTTTAGTTTGAAATTGGTTAATCCATTTCTAAACTCTATTGTTCCATTATTTTTACTAGTCAGAGCAATCCCAGGCACAGCTACAGGTTGGGCAGAGAAGAGATTCAGAGCAGCCCTGCGGAGAAGGACTTGGGGGTGGTCGATGAGGAAATGAACATGAGCCAGCTTCAGTGTGAGCTTGCAGCCCAGAAAGCCAAACGTATCCTGGGCTGCATCAAAAGGAGTGTGACCAGCAGGTCGAAGGAGGTGATCCTGCCCCTCTACTCTGCTCTTGTGAGACCTCACTTGGAGTATTGTGTGCAGTTCTGGTGTCCTTAACATACAAACGACATGGAACTGTTGGAACAAGTCCAGAGGAGGCCACAAGGATGATCAGGAGACTGGAGCACCTCCCGTATGAAGACAGGCTGAGGAAGTTGGGGCTGTTCAGCCTGGAGAAGAGAAGGCTGCGTGGAGACCTCATAGCAGCCTTCCAGTATCTGAAGGGGGCCTATAGGGATGCTGGGGAGGGACTCTTCATTAGGGACTGCAGTGACAGGACAAGGGGTAACGGGTTAAAACTTAAACAGGGGAAGTTTAGATTGGATATGAGGAAGAAGTTCTTTCCTGTTAGGGTGGTGAGGCACTGGTGAGGCCCAAGGAAGCTGTGAATGCTCCATCCCTGGTGGTGTTCAAGGCCAGGTTGGACAGAGCCTTGGGTGAGATGGTTTAGTGTGAGGTGTTCCTGCCCATGGCAGGGGGGTTGGAACTGGATGATCTTAAGGTCCTTTCCAACCCTAACTATTCTGTGATTCTATCCTGACCTTTTGCAATTAAGGATCCTTTTGGACAGTGTCTCATTATATGATGCATTTTTAAAAGTACTATCAGTTAAATATCAATGCCTGTTCTGTAACATTGTGCAAAGCAAAATGCAGGAAGTGCAGAGATGAAAACAAGGGGGGTTTATGATTCCCTTATTTCTGCATAGTATATATGGAGGATGAGTAGGGGTCTAAGATTTAAGTCTCCTTCTAAATGGAAAAGCTGAAATATTAGTGAGGATTTCAGAACCCTGTTTCAACCACAGCCTTTCAGTGCTGGGAGGGCTTTGGGCAGAGCAGACTGCTCTGTCTAGCTGGGATGCTGGCTTGCACAGGAGGGCAGACAGGTGCTTTGGAAAAGCTGGTGGGTGATTGCGTGGGTGTGATAATGAGGTGCTGTTTTGGTTCTCAGTGTTCTTTTTCTGACAGCAAACTGTCGAGATTCACATTATGTCAGTGAACAAATATTGTGTAGCCAAAAACCACAGGCATGTCCAAATCTGCAGTAGCTTGATTATGGTATGCTGTGAGGTTTTGATTAGCAATTTTTGATTTTTATTTAACTTTGACCAGTATAATAGCCACAGCACCTTCATAGCAAACATCCAAGATTTATTTTTCTCTTTTTCTAACCAAAGTCATTGGTCTGTGTAATTTATATCATGGCTTTGCATTTCCTGTCTATGATTACAGCCAAGTACATAGGGCTTTACATTAATCTCTTTACAGGGATTTATAAACAGTCTTCTGTTTTTTCCTTCTTGAAGGTTCCCAAGCCACATATTTGGCTTTAATTTCAAGGTTTGAATTGACCCAAAAGATCAAAGCAAAAGACATCCAATTCACCATGATGATTGACTTATAGCCAAACTTTTATAAGTTGGCAATTTCTCATGTGTACAGAAGGGATATAGCTTACCAAATCTCATTGACATTCAGAGGGTTTTGGACCCACTTTAGTCTTCTCTCACAATCCTGTGTTTAAATGGCCTAGGTCTGCTTTCTTTTCAAAGTAAATATGCATTTCCTAGGGTTTTATTATTATTATCTTTCTTATTGATGAATTCTCTGTATTTAAGACTTGTACCTCCCTGAGAGACATTCATCCTGCTTCTTGACGACTCTGAGTGGTGTTGACAGCTGAGTATGATTATACATGATAACAAAGTACTTATGTCAACAAGAGTTAAGAAGTAGGGAATTTTCAGATGATTCCCACTCCTTCCAAAAATACAGGCACAAAGGTGGGCTTAGGAAACACAACTGGAAAATCTTAGATTTCTGAGAATGATACCAATATTATTTTTTTGTCATGATGTAGTAGGCATGTAGCTAATTAATGCCTTACACCAAAGACAGAAGTTTCCAGCTTCTGAAGAAACTTGATCTTGAAGAATACACTGAAACTTTTTACAAAAGATTATGGAATTGCCAGCGTTTTCAACTGAAGAATAAACACAAAAATACTTTAAAGCATAGCGACTTATTTAACTGTCAGCGCTGTTAGATCCAGCCTTTTTTCCACCTTCTTATGAATAGAAGAGCAATGAATAATATGTGTAATAATTACCAATGTTTATTAATTAATCAGTAGTTATTAACTCCCCTGACACTACAACGTTTCCTTTGCTTTGTGGATTGCTGAGCAGCAACCTGTGCAGAGTAACACTTAGGTAGTAAACAGCAAAACAAGCATCTTTGTGAAAAGAATTCAAGAGAATGTCTGTTTTCAGAGTAGAGATTTCATTTTGAATAGGGGCAGCCAGGGCTGTAATTTCATTGCTAGCAAAGTATGAACAGAAAGAATTAAAGTGCACATATCAAGAATAATAAAAGAGCTTGAACTTCTTAGAAGCCTTTTGGTTTTAATTTTAAGTAAAGGAACTTCAAAAATGCTTTTAAAATCTTCATCTTAAATACAGTTAAGACTGGAAATTGCAGTTGCCCCTCCTTTAACCTTTGGTATTCTCCCCAATATTCTTCTTTGTCAAATGTACTCAATTTTATGAGCTCATTATTTTTCCTGTACTAATACATTTTTCTTATCTCCTAATTAACCACTGCTGCTAGCTTACTCATGATGGCATGCTTACATCTGCTCTGGCTTTTCTCTCTTATTTCAATGCAGGTCTCCTGATGCAATTGACTCAGCTGATGCTTTGATGCTATTCAAACTGTCTTCTGGTGTCAAGTCTACGTGGTTCCAGTTCAGCGGAGGTGGGAATGCAAATGGACAGCTGCTAACAAATCTTCCTAATTAAAATTTGAGAGGGACTTGAACAGGTAAATCATACCAAAATTCCTTACATTCCTTCAGCTTTCAAAACTTGATTAGAACCTTTCCTTAAAATTTCAGTTCTGCATAAAACACAAGAACTTTTTTTTAGATTTCATGTTCAACATTTTGTGTGTCTTCTCTTGAAATCTCCTAACTTACATTTCATGTGTGATCTCTGCCATGCTGAACTAATCTCTTAAGGTATCAGCCAACAGTTACAAAAGCAGTACAAAAAAAAATGCAAAATATTTTTAGTCAGTGTCAAAATCTTTGGTCTTCAATTAGTTTAGCCAGCACTGATAAATGAGGTTATTGTTTTGTTTTGCATCTCTACCTGATATTTTATACATCCTAACAAGTGTATTTAACTTGATACTTTTCCGCAGTTTTCCATTATTTTATAAAGCTATTTGCTGACATAAAAAAAAAAAAAACAAAACCAAAACTATTAAATCTGTTACCAGTTGTGCAGAGTTTTGTTCCTTGTGAAGCTATACTGAAGTTGGTGCTACAGATAAGGTATTGAAAAATTAAATGACACTAGTGTGTGGTGAGAGCGCAGGCAGTGGTTAAAGTCTTAGGTGTCTTTCTACACAAGTCATCAGTTTTATCCAAAATCAAGGCATTTCTTGGGTTTGCATCTTTCCATTTTTGTTTGAAGCTTTTTCAGCTGAAAAGCTGTAGGCAGAGGCTTACAGAATTTCCCAGAGATAGACTGGTTGGGTAGAAGTGCTTTACCCTGGAATGAGTTCTTTGCTGACCAAGAAGGTCGCATCTATGGCTTTTGGAATCTGATGGTTTGTGGGCTATTATGATTCTATGGTCATTGCAGATGCCACTTCATAACAGCACATTGCCAAGTATTGCAGACTTCCCAATGCAAGATACATGCACTGCAGAAGACATGGAAATATGCTAGCAATGCAGTCTTTATGTCAAAAAGTCCTATAGCTGTTTTCCTACTAGAAAGCTGGAAGTGTAAGGTAAAGAAAACACTAATGAAAATGATAGTCTTGAGTGACTTTCACTGCACAGTGCTTGAGATGCTGTATTCTTTCAGACATCTAGGCCTTCCAGAAAGTGGAAAACTGATTTTTAGTGTAATTTATATTAAAAATCACTTAAATATAAGAATACACTAAAATATTCTTTTAATATCATATTGTTTAGTATTTATTAAATATTAGGATAATGAACACCACTTTAGAAATTGTTTGTTTAATAATTATACAACCTCCATGCTGATATTCTCATCTCCCATCACTGATTTATTAACACCAAAGGTTATGTGCAGATTTTCACTCATTTCTAGAAAATTTGCTAGTGAGGGGTTATTAATTTCTCAGATTGCTGACTGGAAAGTAGATGTAACTTGAGGCTAAATGTGCTGACAATGTTTTCCCATTTTTAAAGGTAGTCTAGCTCTCCTGGCTTATCATACAAGAAACCAGTTTGCCAAGCTTAATGAAAGTTTCAAGAGTGGGAAAAGAAATTAAAGTCCTTTGACAAGGTCATTAATTAGAAACTGGTTTAAAAAGAATAGGAAAACTATTATCTGGTCAAACGATATTGTGCCCATATGGTGGGTATTGTTAGGCTGGTAGAACTGGATGATTTATTTCCATGTCACAGAGAACTTTATCAGAGGAGGAGGATGTTTAAAGTTTCAGTGTGTTACATTCCATAGATTTCCCTCACTCCCCACTGTATCCTACCATTAAATTACCTCAGGCAAATATTCTGTACAGTACCTTTGTTTTGTCTGGCTGCTGGTTAATTTTCCCTTCCTCCTCTCCACTGGTTTGCTCAACAATTATCAGGCAAGTGGTCCAAGGTGACAAGTATAAACTTCTCCTTGAAAGAACAGCAGAGGTGGAGCAGTTGCTGTGGTTAGCAACAGCTGGTCTTGAAAGAGAACCATCCTGAAAGATCTGCCAATACTTTTGACAGTTCCTCCCCTTGTTTTCCCTGTGAAATGACAAACCCTTTCACAGACATCACATACCATATGTAATATTTCATTCCTTCAAGCTATGCTAACCTCCTGCTGTCTGACTGATTCTTGTGCTGGGAAGGGGGAAAAGATATTTTCCTGCCTGTACCAATCCTGTGTTGTCTCTTAGGTAACTTACGGCAATAAGAAAGAGTCGACCAGCTTATCTTAATGTCAGTGTTTGCACCAATGTTTTTGTTGGAAGCAAATGGCTTCTCAAAAGTCATTTGAAGAGCCTGACTTGAACACACTGTCCTTCCTCTTAAAACTGCAGACTGCTAATGTAAAAGCTCATTTCTTTCAAATGCTCTATTCTCATAAAGAAACCCTTTAGAAATAGAAAGAGGAATGGCTTCCTTAGGATTTTCCTTTTTTTTTTTTCCAGAAGGCTGCAGGCATGGCAGAGTGCTTTCAGCAGTGACCTGTTACATTGCCAGAGATGATAGCGTGATGTTTGTTAATTCGCTGTTGTGATGCTTTAGGCAAATGTAATGGGTGGAGAGGCAAGAAATCTATTCAGTAATGTCATCCCCTCTAAAAAAGATTATAGGAAAATGGTTTATTATCATTGCTTACAATCACTGCTTGCTGGTTTTCAAAATACCAACAATATGTCAAACGCTTTCAGGAGACCTGTGAGAAACAGCTCTTTCCTCAGATAATTTACAGTCATGGCAGGCTGTCATCTGCTGGTGTGTATGTGTATTTTCCAGTTTTTATTGCCCTTTTTCACAGAAAGGCAGAAAAGAAAAGCATCAGAACATTCTCTGTTGTCGAATGAAGGGAAAATAAACAGGAGAGGAGGACTGCAACATGAGTGCGGAGTCATGCTTTATTTGGTTTGTTGAGGGGCAAGTTCAGATGATTATCTAGAATGTTGCAAAGCTTTTCCTGTCAGCTTTGATACATAATGAGAATTTATTGGTAGACATCCAGAGGGAAAATTGCTTTGAATTCTTGCATTGCATTTTACAGTGTGCTGTTTCCGTTGGAATGAATGAATAGTGGTTCAATGTGTGCATATATGTTGAGCTGTAACCAAAACTTGGAGTGCTTGGGCAACAAGATGGTGCCTTTCCTCTGCATCTGTGCCTAAACTGGGAGCTGGCCATTGCAGCCTTCATAAGGCACCAGCCTGTTTTTTTAGTGATCACTCTGGAAACAAATGTGTTCCTTCCAGCATACCATGTCTGGTTCTTCTGTCAGGCTCAAATATTGCAGTACCATCTTCCTGTTGCAGCTCAAACCTCTTAAATAATCTAATTTCATCCATTTGGTTACTTCTGCCAGATTTTCATTTCTTTGTCACAGCTGTCCATGTTCCAAAGCTTTACAGTTTTTTGCTGCAAACTATAGTATATGGCCACATTTCTTTCTGAAGGTTGGTAGTATACTAGTACTCTGTTTTCAAAACAAGTTGGAGAACTTCAGCTTGACTCTTAATCGAAACTTTACTGATCATGCATCAGGATTCATTTTGCTAAAAATATAAATTAGCTACCATTGGGTAAATTTCAGCAGTTTCTAATCTTTCCTTCTAATTTCTGTATTAGTTTGAATTAACTGTTATTCCAGGGATTGCAGGCCCTTCCCTATGACCATGCAATGACTTTTACCAATACATTATCACACTTGCTTTGAATTCTAATGATTCAAGAGATGGGGAGTTTCAACAGCCATTACCATCTAGAAAGGAAACTTTTTTATTGGTTAAACGTTATTCAACATGCTGTTCTTTCTAAATATCAAAGATCTGTGTTTGCCGGTGGTGTTTTTTATTTACATTTTCCATGCCTTAACAAATTCACATTTTGACCTGAGCAGTATTCAAAAGGGTCTAAAAGGCCCTGGTTAGAACAAGAACTAGCATGGTTTAGCTTACAGTTTACCTGATTTTCTGAGTAAATATAAACATGCTATACATGTATCCTTCTGCCACAGGATCCAGTTTTAACTGGCAATGGAGGACTACAGAGGGTGGATGGCAATTTTTTCTCTTTTCCTACCTTGTAGAATGCCCTTCCCACTTGTGCTCTGCTGCCCATATAACTTCAGATCTCCCAGACAGAGAATAGCTTTGGTGTTCTGTGAGGACATGATTTACCATAATAAGGTCATTGTTTTCTGAAGTATGTAAAGTAATAGAAATACAACCTTGTGCAGCCAGCTCTCCTTGGGACAAGATTTTGTTCCACTGGTAGGTGAAATAGTGAATTGTCATTCAGGAGTAAATGGTGTGTGGCTGGAAGTAGAGAATTCAGCCATTCAGCTGCTTTGGTGGGTTGTGCCTCCACTTCTGTCAACTGAGAGAAGCATTCATCTGACATACCCAATATTATGAGAACTAAAACCAAAATGTTGCAAGGGCCTTTGATCAGTAGTGATGAGCTCAAAAAGCCATATTCCCTTAACCACACTAGCACTTTTAGGGAGCTCGTAACTGAGGTTTTAGATATTTCATTTATTTATTTGATTTTGTTTTTCCTGAGCAATATGTTGGATTTTTTTATGGGAACTAGAGTTAAGTTCTGTTTGCTCCCAGAAAAGCACAGGCTAGCTAAAGCCCCATATTTCTTTCTTTTAATGAAACAGATGAACAAAAGAGGAAGCAGGGGCAGGAAGAATGGAGAGACAAATACTGTTAGATTTGTTGCTAATGGATGGGGAGGCCAGTTTGGGAAGACTGGAGTGAGTAGCACTGCATTTCTTCTGAGGCAGATTTAGGACTGCTGTGTTAAGTAGTGCTGTGTTACATTTCAGCAAAATTCAGAATTTCAGCTAATCACTTTAGAATGCTTATTGCAAATGGAATTTATCCTGTAGCTCTGAGAGTAATGGGAATAGAGCTTAGGAAGTAGGAGAAACTTTTGTATCTCTTCTGTTTCTCAGCTTTGTACAATCTGTTATTCACAGCAGAATGACAAGTGCCTAAATGGTAATGTTTGTGGGGAAAAAATCCAGGCTCTTTTGACATAATTTTCAAAACCGGGGAATCCAGTGATGAGCTATTCTTCATAGCAAGTTACAGATATCTCCTGAGTGACTCAGATAATCTAGGTAAATTGTGAAGTCATAGCAATTTAAGACTTTAAGTCCTAAGAGTATCAGAGAACAGCTGTTGTATGTGCAATTAAAATAGGCATGGGTAATATTCCAGGTATATCTACTTCCATTTAGTGGATTTCATTGGTGTTTTCATGCAGCCTTTTGATTAAGTTAATGTAATACTCTGCTTTTAGGACCACTGATAAGATGATTTATGTGCCAGTATTTCGCAGTGCTGCACTGCTAGTGTGTTTGCTCTTGAGACAGATGACTGATGGTTTAAAATGCCTGAAAATGTTTCTTCCATTTCTTTGTGACAGTTCATTAAGAGACTATACACAGAAACGTCCTTGGTTACATACAAATCAGATTCATCAGCAAACATGTGAAACATGCATTTGATCCCATTTACTTGATGTACGCAAATAATCCATAAAGGTGATTTATTATTCCCACTTGCTTTATCTTGCATGTTCAAATTATAATCAATAAGAGCTATTATTCTTTCAAGTAAGAGATTTATAGCCCTTGGTCATGGTGTAATAGCCAATATACACATAAAAATCAGTTTGAGAAGCTTTTACATTTACATTCAAGTTTCCTTGATGCATAGCAACTTAATTGGATTCCATATTATGAAACAAACTAGATCATAATAATATTAAATCAAATAATTGGAGGGAAAAAATGTGTATACCAATGCAACAACTGATTTCTTTTTTCACTCATATCATGCTGGAAACATGGCTAGTCTGCATTTTTGTAACTATGTGAGCAAAATATGACTTCCAGCATTTCTTCATTTAGGATGTCTTGTCCCGTAGTGGTTTAGCTCTTGCTTTGTAATGGGTCAAGAGCAAAAAAAAAAGGGGCTTGAAGACATCTGCTCAGAGCAAACTTATTCCATAACTCTGCATGTTGTATTCCTCCTTTGTTGCAGTGATTTGCATGTTACAATACCACCTTGCAGTTTGACATGCCTGGAGTAACTTATAAATTGTGTAGTTTCTGTGACTTTAAAATTTGTCTCCCCTCAGTTTAAATAATAGTGAAAAAGTTAAACTTCTTAATTTAGCATTGCCTGACTTCATAGTCAAACACATAATGAAAAGATCCATTTTTCTTGGGGCTATTTTTTCAGCCTGTCTGCAGACTCAAGTTGATACTGTCATATCCACTTACCCTATCTTTATTTGCTAGCTATTCTTATTATCTTAGAGGAATCTCCCTTCTGGAATCCCAACTGATCTCTAATTCTTAATATGTACAGTTGAGGAGATACTCTGAAATAGTAACAGTTAAAAACAGACTCTCACTTCCTCAACCTCATCTGCAAAAATATTAGCTGCGGTTTAGGTTTGGATTAAAGGCTTGCAATGTAGGTAAGGGAGGGGGACAAATCTGTACATTCTCGAAGACAGGAGATGCATGATCCATCTGGGAAAAGAGCAATTCCTATGCCTTTAAATATATTCTTAGCCCAGCTTTGTGCGTTTTAATAAACCAAAGTACATTAGGGTTCATACAATGTGCCTGGAGTCTCTACTTTTCCCAGAATTATGTTTGACAGGTATGATGATATTATGACATATTCTGTTGAAGTTTCATTTTGACTCCTCAGGTGGGAGGCAAGTACACTGTGGGAGAGTAGTTCTAGTGTTTCCTTCCTGTTTGATACTCTGAAGTAGATTGTTGGCAAATTGCTGTTATGTTAATCCTTCCATTGGAGGTAGTTTACTAACTGAAGTTTAAGAATGGGTTTAGTTTAAAATTGCATCTATACAGCAGCAAATGAATTGCAATCTGTCTCTATCTGATATTAGAGGCATTTCATTAAGAGTGCATTTGTAGCCAAGGCCTTCAGAAAGTACTAATATTTGTGAACATATTTATACATTATTTGCTACCACTATATACTTGGATCTATTTAAACCTATTTTGACTCATTGTTATAATCTTAAAATGAAGATTTTCCTCTGAAGTTATAAATACGAACTGTTTTGAGGTAAGGAAGTTGAAGTTTTCTGCAGATGATGCTAAAAGTGTTGCTCTGTGTCTAAGCTGCCACTGTTTTCAAGTATTAAAACTATAAATCCGTGATTAACAGGTTATTCTAAGTTATTAACAAATGAATTGTTATATTAAGTTACTAATCATGCAAATCATATATTTTGTTTCTTTTCAGAATGTTATTATAATTACCCATAATAGCATCTAGTGAACGCTTCATCTCATTTGAATTGATGGTCTTTTTTTTTCTCTTTATGTATGTGAATTACTTTAAATTCTGCTTTTATTCTAATTTGTAAATATTTCTTCTTACTTTGCTATCTGTTGCCTCATCAAAACATTGTTACTGTATCTTTTATTTCTCCAGTGATTTTTATATCCTTTGGGATAGTGAGTGTATATTGCACTACTAGGGACCCACTGAACTGAATTTTAACACACAGGGGGAAAACAAATGTTTTCCCTCCCCTCTTCTTCTTTCTCCTCTCCTGCTTCCATGTAAGTACCATAGGGAGTTGCTGTGGATTGTTCAGACTTCTCTATAGATATACCTCCGCTTGCAAAACACCAACTGGAGTAAAGCATGATAACTAAGATGCCAGTCCTAAATTTCACTGTCTGAATAAATTTTCCTCTTCCAGGATTAGAACACAAGGAATTAATGGTTTGATTGTAGTGTCTTTCCAGACTGGCTTAATGTTGAGGCAACATAGCTCTCAAATTGGTGAGCAGCCAGTTTATGTACACAAGAGTTGTAGTGTGCTTTTGCAGTTACTGATAGCGCTTGTTTGAAGTCTCACTGCTCTGTCACCTCTTCTCATCTGAAGAGTGATAACATTTAATTTCCAAGGTTCCAGAGGATTTGCTAAAAT